CCAAAAAAAAGAAAACTAAATAAAAAAAAAAAAAAAAAAAAAAAAAAAAAAAAAAATCCAAACACCCAGCTGTCAAAACCATACTATGTTCTCCCTATTGAAAATAATAATTGTGGCTTTAAAAGAAGTCAACAATTTAGCAAGATTTATTCACTTTATTTTCACTGAGTGGAAGATATTGGCTCCTTCAGAAACACTTAATTAATACATGCACTGCTGCAAATTAGCTTATATGTAAAAATGAACTAGTTAACTTCTAAGACCAAGTTCTACTGTAAAAACCCTACAGACCACTCAGTGCCTTTAAAAAAAAGTGTGTTTTTTCAGTGGCTATTTATTGCTCTTATGCTGATATATCACTGTATGTTTGCATCACTGAAAATACATGTGGTGTATGTGGTCTTTTGTGGCAAAGACGTAAATGCAAACTGCTGCAATGTACTTTGAGATACCTGTCCTTGCCTATTTAACTCGTTTCTTACTGTGATGTTAAGAGACTTGCATGGGATGCTATGTGAACTAAGACTCTTCTTGTTTCACTCTTTAAATGAAGACGTGTTTGCACAAGCAGTATGTTGGATTGAATTCTGAACATGTTCTTTGCTCTACATTCCCTTCTAAGAACAGTGAAGAAAAACTTGTATTGTATTAGGGAAAAGTTCATTATCTTCTTTCCTACCAAATTGGCTTATATTTACAGAAATTAATGCTTGTGTTTTTTCATGTATAAACCTGCAGTCTTTCATTAGGTGACTAAATGTTGCTATGCATTTGAATTGAGAGAGCTGTGCTTATGAGGCTGCAGCTTCAGATTGATTTTAATAAAAATATGTATGTTGCATTTCCTAAAATTTTACGCACAAGTATTCTAATTAATAATTTATCAAAGTATTGGTAGACAACCTCTCTGGTGTATCCAGGCTACAAATGAGATATTTCTATAAATCAGTTCCAGAGTTGTGCAAGTTATTTTAAAAGACTATATCTTCAATTCTTAATATCTGCAAATGCACACCGTGAAAACAAACATTTATCTCTGTTCTGTTATACAATGTGGCTGAAATAGTTCCTGTGCAGGAAACTAGATCAAGACTGATGAATCTTGTCACATACGGAGAGCATAATCAGTCTTAAACTGTGTGTAGGACATGCACTGGGTGTCTGCAAAGGATGAATGTCACCCATTTAGTCTTGTAACTCATGAGGCTGAATATGCATTCCCTATTCAGACAATTCTCTCTGGTGCAATAAGGAGCAGTTTTGCCAGTATAAGATCTTCAGGGGAAAAGTCAGCCCTATTATGAGGGAAACAAGTAAATTATGTTATGGAATTCTTTCACCTCCTATACCATATCTGTTTCTAAAAGTAGATTTAATGTAAACAACTCTGCATGCACCATATAAAAAAGAAATTGCCAATTATGCACAATCTAACTTGAGGTGGAAAATCTAACCCCTTACCCAGCACTGGAATGCTTAGTAACAGAGTCCTCTATCTCCCCTCACTCCTAGTAAGCTTTGTAGTAATAAACAGAAGCTCTTCAGGATGTACACCCCTCGGAAACATAGGTATTCAGCATCCTCCTATTCACATGATGTTTGAGAATGCCAACTAATATCAGGTGCATGATTCATTCACTTCCCCTCCTTAGTGCTTTGAAGTTCCTTACTTCTCCAGATGATGTTTCCAATTTATTTTTAAGTGCTTGTAAATCCCTTTTTGCTTGTTGCCTGCAATGCCATTAACACAATGGCAGCAACACTAACTCATCCAGCCAGATAATTGCAGTGCACAGCACACCGCAGTTTTACAAAGCCCCATTCCCCTTCTCTGCCTGAGACTTCAACTTTTTGAATGCATTACCCTGTGGAGATCTAAAACTGGGGTTGAGTATTTTGATAAAGCCATTTCCCCAAGTCCAAGAGGATTTTTATGTCCATGGCAGTTGATTTCTCCATCTAATTATTAGTGGAGAATGTTAAGCCGTAGCATGCTAGGCAATTACAACAGTCAAAATGTGCAATTGTTCTTGAGAAGAATCCCCTTGGACACATCTTGTGGATGATGTGCCTGCATCCTGTGCTGGAAGGTAGAGGAATGCATGTGAAAGCAAGCATCTGCTTCAGCTGAATTCTCTGGAAATTGTGTTTCTTACCAAAAATGGTAATTCCTAGATAGATGGATCTTACTGGAAGAAGCCTATGATTCATATCTCAAGCTGATTGCATTTTTTTCTTACTTTTTAAAAATAATGTAAAAGACAGTATAAGTACAAACTGATTACAGGAAATTAGGATCAAAATAGTTTCTCTTCATTTAGAAATTATTTGGGAAAAGGAAAAAATGCACAAACACCCTATTTAGTTTTTCTGTTTGACAATTGAACTATAATATACTGTGGCCTGAAATTCTTGCTATTACTTATTGAAGGTATGAGATACAACACTAAATTTCTTGAGTTTGTGGTCCTAGCATGAGACTGGTGGTGAAGTCTTTGAACTTTAGGTCTCACACTATTATCCACTGCATTTGCATTTGCTCAACTTAGCTTAATTTCAGTAAAAATATTTGTAGGCTCAGTAAGAACCAACACCTGTATTTACAGGTAGCTAACTGCTGAAAATTGGCGTGTACATTTGCTTGCTGTTGTTTGCCATAGGTGATAATTTTTGGCAGTTTTAGCTTCTGTCTCAAGACTCAAAGCCTTCTTCCTCATCCTCAGACCCTCCAGTTATTTCTGATTCATTTCAATTTCTTCCTATTCTTGCTTCCACCAATTGGCTCAGTATGAAAAGCTGAAAAACAAGGTGAAATTATGGCTAGTAGCTAGCAGTAGTGCTGCAGGTCTGAGACTGAGGCAGAGCAGAAGTTTTAACTTGACCAGAAATCTAGGAAGGTGGCAGAAAAATGGGGGAGTGGGACTGGTAAGGAAAGAGATGCTCAGTTAATAAAGCATAGGGAGATGGTCCGTGGAAGACAGAGAGAGCAAAGGTTTGCTTGCATTTGTCAGTTAAAACTCTTATCCAGAGTAGTCATTTGGACCAGGAAAAAGTGATCGTTCCCTCTGCAGTGAAGCTACAGTGACCTCTAGTGTCCCTACACACCCATTCCTTCATAGATCAAAGGTGGCAAAGGCAGAATTTGTAAACGAAGAAGCAAAAATTAGAAAGTCATTTGCTATCCTAGGGAAGTGAGTGCCTTGGGCATGAAATGGGAGGAATGAGTCACAAGATCCTACAACTGACCTCTCAGAAGGCAGACAAATACAGAAAAGTCATTTGCTTCCTTTTCTATAGCTGCCAGTTGCAATTGACCTCCACTAAAAGGTGCTTCAAAGCTCGAGTGTTATCGATAAGAATACATTCCACAACTTTCAACCTGCAAGAATAGAGGAGTGATAGGTCCAAAGAGATTACCATTGCCAGGGAAGTCTGTCGTAGGAAGAAAAATGTATGTCAACCAATTGGGCTAAATTATCAGTCATATAAAGTACTAGAAATTATGGACAGACACATATCTAAAGGAATGCAGAGATAACTGGAGACAGCTGTGGATCTCTCAGATCACTGTAATTTAGTTTTGATTTAGGAACTTGTGCTATTTTATTTTCCTTTTTCTTTCTCATGGTTTTTGCCTTTTGGACAAACACACAAAGTTTGTGAATACTTATGGAGATGCATGAATATCCAATGATAATTAACAGGTTTACATTGATTCAAGGGATTTCTTTTGGATACCATGTAAAAAGAGAGGAGAAAAGGTGAAAGATAAAAATATAATAGGCTCGGACCTGAAAGATTTGAAGGATGTTTAGCACACATAAGCCAGTACTGATACAACCAGCATTAAATCAGCATAAAGGGCCCTAAAGGAGTCACTGGCTATTGATTGAAATGCAGAATGTCCAAAGATGCTTGAATGGTGCGTTATCTTCACTCTGCAATTTTAACACTGTCTCTACTGCTATTGCAACAAAGAATTCAGAGCCAGGAGCTAGGCTGTATCCTATAAGGAAAGGGACTTTCACTCTGAGGAAAAGCCTGGTCAGGGTATGCTCAAAGTGCTCTGATTCAATTACTCCTTCATGATCTGTTATTTATCGTACACAGAAGAGCCCCAAGACAGTGTGTTCCCAAGCACAAGGTTTCTTCTCTCAACCTTTCTTCTCTACTGTCAGCCACACAATTTATGCCTGTGCTGAGAAGGACCCAGTGACTTCAGGAACATTTCCCACCAGTCTCAAAATAGGAACAGGGATCCAAGAAGCAAAGAACTGCTCTAACTAGTCTCTTTGGGTATGCATCTCAAGATGCAGAAGAGAGTTTTCAAACACTCCTTCCTTCAGGGACTGTTTCTCTTCACAATGCAGTACCCTCTGCATGGACCCTTGGCATGCCAGTACATTGTCATTGCTACGAAGCAGACTTGATTTGAGTTTTTAAGTATAAGCTCTACAGTTTACATTAATATTTTAATTCTCAGCATTGCAATTTTGAAAAATGTCTGTAGTACAGATAAAATGCCTGCTGTTCCTTTCAACATTGCCTCACTGCTTTGATTTGGAGGACTAAAGATATACAAGTTAAGTAGTCATTGTGTACCATTCAGCTCTTATAAATGAAATAACCATGTCTACCAATCATTTAAAGTCAGCCACTGCTTTCCTTAGTACAAATTAATTGACAGAACAACACATGTGGTGTTTTGACTTTGATTTTAAATTTTCATTTTTATTTTGAAGTTAATGTGATTATTAAAAAATATGACATATATAGATAGTTTTTATGGCTATTTTACCCATTTTCCTTTTATTTTTATTAGTGCAGCAGGAAGAGAGCTGTCCAGAAACTTTTTAACTCTAATGTTTAAAAAAAAAAAGCATCACTGACTTCATTTTTCATTAGCAAGTACAATCTGAGCCATAAGGGGAGTTAAAAAAGGGGGACACTTGTAGGAATAATATCTATAACAATAAGTCAGTTTTGATTCTCTTCCTTATTCTGTATAATATGACCATGCAATAATATGGTTAATAAATATTTTACAGTTTATATTTTCATGGCTGTGAAATGCAAAAGATTCCTGAGCTGAAATATAATTCAGTCTTGAAATGTAATTTGTATTCAAAGCTAAATTCTGGAACACTTTTCTTTCAAATATTAGGTTCTCTGCGTCTTTTGTATTGCTTATGCCACAGCATTGGGTAACAATTTACAATGGAAATAGATAACATTTTCATCCCGGTGATGTATTTATTTCAACAATTGCTTATTTGGGCAAGAAAAGAAAGGGATTACATTGAGAAATTATAGTAAAGGTATTCTTTCAAGTAATCCAACATGCCATATAGAAATAAATTTATCTAATAATCTTTCTATTAATGTGCTCATTTTTCAGTATTCTTGAAAATTATCACATTATAAGCACCCCAGCATGTGTTTTGCCTGCAACAAACTGCATCCTTTCTGCTCTCAGGGATGTTTGTACTCAGACTGAAATGCTATGCTTTGCTATGCATGGACAAAGATATGTTTATCTCAATATTTCACAGCCACACAGGTTTATAACTACTTTCCATTTCATATAATTACATATTAACACTGTATTTTCAGAGTGCAGTAGGTTAAACACCTAAGAACCACATAGTCCATCTTGGCATTAGCTAATTATCTGCAGGATCTGTTCCTGTTCAAAACATCTTATGGGCATGCTGAAATTAAATTCAAAGACCTTGAGAGCACTAGAGAGTGTCTTAACTTCAAGAACCACCGTAATTTTCAGGTAGACAGTCATTGGTAAAGGTGTTTCAAAAGACCCCTGCAAAGCCTACAGCAGGGCAGCAGGACTGCAAGTCCCAGAAACACCATACCATGAACAGACACTGCATTGCCCTCATCATCTCCTCTCTTGAAAGAACAGGACCACTGATCAAGGTGACCATTCCCCTGCTCAACCAATTGAATTTTACCTTGCTTATAAAAGAAGGTTTCCAGACCTTGGTATCAGACTCTTCCTCTGTTTGCCCTTTGCGTCTTGTGCTACAGGAAGGGACAAACAAAGGCAAAAATGTTAAATAATTAAAAAGCCTAGGTAGCTAGTCACAGTGACCATAAGATGTTCATCAGATACATTTGGACAAAGGTAATTTAAGCACCAGGAAATAGAAAATCTATAAAACCCACATTTAGCTGGCTAGGGGAGATGATTACAGGCACAGCGGGGGAGGGGGGAAAAAAACCCCTTACAACTGGTCAAGCATAAGACCACAGGGTCACCATTGATGCAGCAGACACAGTCATGAGCTTGGCTGGGCTCTGTTACCTGTCCAGTACCACCTGCACAGGGTCAGCTCCCAGCTAAATCTTCAGCAATGACTTTAGGGAGCACACAGCGTATCATTACATTTCCATTAATCAGTCATCATGCTGTTTCTTGGATATTTGATTAATTTTGGTTTTGTCTTGTCCATGTAAGTGCTCTAACAAGGAATTCTGGACATGAGTGATCACTAATCATGCATATGAAATGTTGGAAGTGCCACATCCTGCAAAAGCATGAATATACACTAACAGTATTTTTTGCCTGCTAAAAAAATCTCAAACCAGACAATACTACATGGCATGCAGTAACAATAAAATAAATTTTGGTTTTATTTATCTGAAGATATGGCCAGAAATGCACTGAACTTGGCTGACTAAGATGGAAACAAACATTCAAGTTCAAGGAATAGAAAAAACATCATAGAGATTAATGTATAATAATTGGGTGAAATTGTTTCTATTTGTTATTTTTAATTTCCTTTAGAAGGTTATTCTGTACTGTATGATAGACTGGCAATGCTAATGCTTCTATCAAAAAACAATTACATCAAATCAGTTCCATTCACAAATTAAATATATTCAATGAAAATAAAAGTGTTTAAGAAACAGATTCATACCAGTGAGATTTTTTACACATTTTCAATAATCATACAATAGAAAAAATAAATGGATTGAAGTAACTATGAAATAAAATATATTTCTATCTCTCACAGCCAAAAGCTAAGTTTCAAGGAGCGGGTCCGGATGGCCAGCCCACGAGGTCAAAGTATAAAAAACAGGCAATCTTCAGTCGGAGATCGCCGGTCCCCAGGTGCTGACATTGCCACCGAGGGCAGCCCAACCAAAGTCCAGAAGAGCTGGAGCTTCAACGACCGAACCCGCTTCAGGCCCTCGCTGCGGCTGAAGAGCTCCCAGCCCAAGCCCATGGTTGATGGTAGGAGTTGTTCACCCCTTTTTTGCCACTGCACGCTGCTCCCAGCCTGCTCACACTCCTGCACACTTGCACAGTGACTGTACACATTTTAGGAAGGCAGAAAGTATTTATGTTTGGGGCCAGAGACACAAGCCAGCTATAGTCTGCTTCAAAGACCCTGATAATGTGATTATTTTTTAAATAAGAAATCATGTCAGTGGTGCATAAGGAGCAACCGGTGGGAAAGGAGTCACTGAAAAGTCACAATAGACTAAAAGCATCCCAGGGATTTGGCTACAGCAGCTCTTCTGTCATGGCCCCTCTCCCACCACTGAGCTCAGCTGCTGCCCAAACGTGCTGCCTCTTGCTGGTGGTCCACACAGCACAGCCAGCATTGCCTGTGCCTTTGCCAGCCGGGAGCACAGCTTGTGCAGAAGTGGCTGTCTCAGGCAAAGGAGTCCCAGTGCCTGTACTGGTGATGAAATCACCTGCCACTAAGGGATACAGTACTGGGTGCTTTCAGTTTTACAGGGTTGTATCTGCCTTGATAAGGCAGGTAGATTTTGCAAACAAAACCAGTGTTATTGCTTTTATGTATTGCTTTCTATAGGGTATTTTGGATGTAGGAAGCACTCCTAAAAATGTCTTGTTGAACGTGCAGCAGGCAGCCCAGCCTTTCACTCAAGCTGTCTCCTATGCTGCTCCATTCTCTACCTTAAGTCAAATTTGGCATTAAACTAACCAGTATTCAGGCAAGGATCTTCATCTGATGAAGCCTGCCAAACAAAGACAGTGACTCCTCTAACCAAGGAGCACCAAACTGGGTGACAGCAGCCCCCTGGCAGGCAGGAGCTGAGAGAACCAAGTGAAACTGACCCCTACGTGGGACGGGTCCAGCACTGAAAGGTGCATTCACATAGCTCTGGGAGTACTGCTGCCCCAGTGAATTTTGCTTTGGGTTTCTTCATTCCCATATTTCCCAATCTATGAATGTTTTGCTCTTTCTTGGGGTATCCTCCATGTAAAAAACAAGAGAAACAAACTGGTTGACTGCCACAGAATGCAGTGACGCTGCCTGAATAGGAAAGGTGCAACCTCTTTCTACAATGGCATCATGCATGCTACATCCAACAATTGTGGTAAGACTAATTAGAAAGAAGTGCGATGTTGATGTCACTTCCTTTTTAAGAGCACATATTATCACAAATGTGTAGGTTGCAAAAATTCATTGAACTGCAATGCCCCATCCCTCAATGAGGATGTTCTACACAACAGGTCTCTTCAGGAAAAGCCTGGGTAAATAAACATTTCCTGGAGGGCAACCAAGACAAACCAATGGTATTTGCTAAGGTCATCATTCCAGGCTAGCCCTCCCCCATGGAGATGTCTCAGATTTTCCAAAATTCTGAATTTGCCTGAGGTACAGTGAGTTGCTGGGGTGTATCATCTACCAAGATACTATCCAAGTTGCTCCACGGCACTATCCATTGCTATCCACTCCTATCCTGGGTTACAGGCCCTGGCTTATGTCCCATGGCAGCTGTATCACAGGGGCTGTGTGACCTAGCCTGGGTCTCACACTGAAGTGAAGCTCAGCCAAGGCCACAATGGGAACTGAGAAATGCTCTAGGTAGCATAGTGGTTGAAGCTACCCTGTCTAAATTTAGGCATCTGACATAATCAGTTATAAAGCACAAGTATCATCCCCAAACTGCATCAGAAGTAATTTCATAGGTTAAACCCCTGTAATTCACACTGGGCCTGCAAGTGACCTATGGAGAAAGGAACTTTTTGAGCACTCTCTGAGAGTATCAGTGGCTCACTTTTGCCCCAGCTCTGCAGTCTGCACCTCACTGAAGCACCTGTTTCATTTTTCATCAGCCCATTTATCATAGAAGCATCTCCTCAGCATGTCCCCTCTTTTGTCCTGTACATATTATCACCAATAACAACCATGTGCACAAGCACATCATGCTGCCTCTGACTGTTTCCCTCTCACGGAAAAGGTGGCATAAACAGCACCTGGGGTATATCTGTAGATAAAAGACAGAAACAACAACAGAGCACTCATTGCTGTGCGTAAGCCCTTGAAGATCTTCCCGCTCCTCAGGGTGAGCACAGCCTGTTTCCTGGTCAGTGATTTCCAGCTACTAGTCCACCCTTATGAACTGGGGCCAACAGATACAACCCATTTCTCATCCGTGGCAGAAGGAACAGCTTCCATTGTCTCCAGCTTTTAGGCAAATGCCAAGTTTCCATTCTGGGACCTCATCCAACTACTTCTAGGACCAGTATGATTAGAGAGATGTCCAGTGTGCTCACTTGCTGAGAGACAGCTCCCTTCTGCCTTACCCAAACTTTTGCAGGAAAAGTCAGGCACTACTAACCTTCATTTCTTTTTCTTTCTTTTCTTTCATAGCTTGATACTTTCTGCATTTGACAGCTCAGTGAAAAAGATCTCAAGTTGATGTATTTAATTTAGAAAATCTTGCTTTTTTCACTGGATGAAAAAAATAGTATTTGCAGCATATTATTCTTATCTCTTGCTTGCCAGATCCTCCAATTTCCTCCTTCAGGTATTCCCCCGCCAAATAATTAATAATTTTGGCAGGCCAATCGTCAAGCCAAAACTAGAAGCCAAATTTTTCTGGGTGAAATCTTGGGCACAAAACAGTACCCTTGAACACCTGGTCCTTCTGGTGATTCCTACATCTCTGTAGGGTGTTTGGTGGAAGAAGAAATTACATTACAAGATACCTTTGGGGCAGTGACAACATAGTGCTGGATACCCAGATCAGTGTCAAAACTTCATATCAGTGAAAAAAATGGAGTCTTACTATGAACTTCCTCTTCCAAAAGAGAAAGAGGAAGTTTTTCCTCTGTATGGGATGTGGAGTTGTAAATGTTCTGCCTAGGCAGAGGACTGAATTCTGTGTGAAAATAAAGGAAAGATGCAAATACATAAGGAGAGGATTCCAAAAGGAAGGAAATTTGTTAGCATATGAGGATGCTTTAAGGCAGATAGATGGTCAACACAGAGACTTTGCAGTGCTGACTGAGTTCTGGTAAGGACATGGCTGGAATCTGGGCCAAAACCATCAGAAAAAGACTGCTGGAGAAACTCAACATTAGCAATTAGAAAATTGCCTGCAAAGGGAGGTTTCGAGCCCAGACAGGAGCTCATGGGGGTAGCTAAAACGGTAATCTGATTGAAAATGTAGTAGTTTGCCTCTTAGGTTACCCAGCAACAAACACTCTGGCATTCCCCCACTGCATATTAAAATCATAGAAGGAGAATTTCTTGGCAGCAAGTAAAACACTTAAGCCAGGGTACATCCCAAAAGGATTTTGGCATAACAGCCTTAGAACAGTGTGACCAAAACCATTGCACAAATGCCTTTATTTATGGTTAGTAACAATCTTCTGAATCTGCCAATAGACCTTTTATTGCCATTGACAAAGTGGGTCTGAAAGGGCCCACTTTGAAATAATAAATAATTATTTCAGTTACATATGTGCATTGGCAAATGGAATCCAAACATGAGAGAGGTTTTGGTCATGATGGTCAGAGACGTTTTTGGTTGCCTGACTGGAGATGCTTTCTAGAGCATTCAACAACAGCAGAGGGGAAAGTGAATATCAAGACTTACATAATCTGATTTTAAATACGTGTGCAGTTTCTGGTGACGTGTGGTTCACAGCTTCCAGAAATCTCATTAAAGAGGGGACTCTGCACAAATTCACAAAGGTGCCAGAATGTTGTATTTCCAATCTCTGTTATTAGCATAAAAGAGGATTATCAGGAAGAGGTAGATGAAAGGGATATTTTCACCATTCAAGAATGGTAAATAGTGAAGCTTTACAAACCACACACTTAAAAAGGGTCATGGAAGAGCCTTCCCCAAAGGAATGCTATGTCCCATGGGCAAAGGTGCTGCCTGACCTTGAAGCCCCTCACAGCCCCCTGTGCACCTGTACACAAAGTGAGCCAGGAGCCACCTCTGGCCCCAAGGCCTCCTCATGCAGTATGGCTTTGGTTCTTCCCTGTTTTGTTAACAAAAACAGGGAAGCTGCAACCAAACTGTCTGTGGGGAGTGGTGCCCAAAACATGAGAATACCCACCGGCAGGGTCAGCCCCATGACAGAGTCTGTGCTAGTTATTAAATAGTACAGGTGATCACATGCCTTGCTGAAGGCACTGTGCCCATGCCTCACTGTATGTTGTGTACCCAATCCACAGACACTAAACCACACAAAATCTCTTCTTTATAATGGTGTTCCTGTCCTGTTTTGTTTTCTGCTTGCCTTACTTTCTGAGGAACAGAATCTTTTCTGCTTAAATCATGCTCCAGTCTTGTACCACCACAGCTGAATTAATGAACCAATATTATGTTGTGGATGCAGTTTTCTGTGAGGGATAAAAATACCCTATTATATTTGTTTTCTTCCATCCCATGGTTCTAAGCCTCTGAATGAGTTATTGTGCCTTTACTGTAACCTAGAGACATTGTGTGGCTTTTTTGAATAAAACATCAAAAGCGTTCAGCACTGGAGATATTACAAACATATTTCATTTGATTAATTAAAAAGAATTCTCTAAGGAAATATTTGATTTCTTGCACCATCCCCAAACATTATACACTCACATGACCTTTAGCCTTTCATTCCCTACAGAGTACTTGCACAAAATCCTGAGGGTAGAGTATATTATAAGAGCCATGGAAAGAATGCAATTGTGCATTTCAGCCCCCACATCCTCAGTTACTACCATGTAATTTATGTGTTACAAAAATGACAAGTTTTCCTTTCAGTAGCATAAACAGCTTGACCTTGGATAAGGTTCACTTGATGTGGCAGAAGTCCTTAGTTGGGTTGCTTCTACATCTAAGCTTAAATTTGCTGGTTCAAAGTGAAGCTGCATGTTGTCAAAGTTTGAATGAAATTTACTAGCAATATCTCAATCTGTGCTAGACAAGAGATTTATTTTCTTGTTATTGCCTTCCATGGAGCAGATAGAGCTC